AATGTATGAGAGTTGTTCGATTGCAGTCCGAGTCAGGTCTGAGTCAGTCCAAAGGTATCATGCCCTTCCGCTGTATTTGTATCAACTCTGTATTATCTGGTCGGTTCTGGGAATCTGCGCCATACTTATGACTGTGTTTCACAAGTATGCAACAATAGAGATCACTCCTTGCAAAGCAACGCTGAGATACGACGAAGTAGTCGTTGTGCTAGCCAAGGGTTTGTGAGGAGGCTGTTCATGAATGGTGCGAATTGTTGGACGAGGGCGAGCACGCGGGGGAACAACATTGTTATTTTGCGCTGTGACTCCAAGAATGCTGCGAAAAGTTGGAGGAGACTTGTGAGCTTTGAGTACATAGTAAAGGTAAGGTAGGGTATCAGTGTGGGTGTAACTCCAATAGTGATTCCACACTGCATGGTGGTCAAGGACATCAGCAACGGACTCTTGAGAACGAGAATAAGCGGGACTGTCCAAATGGGTAGAGAGATGAAACAGATACCAGTTCTTGCAGGAAATTGCCAAATTGTGTGATGTTTTGTCCACAGGGACAATGGCAACGTGTTGTTGAAGATGGTGCAAGGAGGCATGTGTAGAGCGTAGTTAACGTGGCTGGCTGACATGATTGGAGAATGAAGATGCATTGGATTGACAATGCGCAAGGATTGCAGAACGCCAGCTGTTCAACTTCTGAGAAAGAAGCAGATCGAGAATGTCCGGCCAACAACCTTTTGTAATTGGCAATGTACTCGTTTAGTCCAATTGCCAGTGTCTGGAGCACATCGGCAGTTTCCCCATTCAGCCGATACTTCGAGCCTTCTTGAAAAAGTTTGCGAAGGCTATCATCGAAAATGATATTGTAGTCAACAGACACAATATGACCATCCACAAGATCAGAACAATGTGGAAAGGCTATGTGGCATTCACAATCAGAGGAGTCGGGTAAAGTCATGCCAGGAGTAACACTCAAGGCCACATCAGTGAAGTTACAAAACTGGACACGCGTCGGTGGCATCAGTTTGTCACATACACGAACATGTGTGGCTGCTTGAGGATCGGGGTGCAATGCAACTACATCTGACAATTGCAACACATGGCGCAAGTTTGTAGCACGAGCTACCTCATGTGCATGTACGACCTTGATGTGGTCAGTAAATGGGTCACGAGGTTGTGCTGTGTAACGTTGGCAGGTATGCTGCGATTTTCGGATGAGGCATTCGAGTTCTCGGATGTGTGTTGTCATATCTACATTGGAAACATTATTGTAAAGCCATTGCAAAAGTTGTACCCGGCATGCTGGTGCTGCTTGCTCAATATCAGCCTTGACACGACACCAATTACCCGAAGCAGCTTCAGTGAGAAGACGATGCAGTGAGGTACGAATCATAAGTTGGGGACCCTGACGAATATCAACAGCAAAGGACCTAACCAAAGGTGTTGGCAAGCGAGGTAAACAGTGAGCGGGTGTAGATAAAAAGGGTGCAACATAAGAGCCAACAGGTGTTGGTAAAAGGGGTGCCATGTGAGAAGGATCAGCGGGTGCAGGAACAGATGGAGCAGCAATAAATGTGGTAGGGAGGGAAAGAGGAGGAGCTGAGGCATGAGGAGGTAGAGGGGGCTGAGGAGCAAAGGGACGAGGGCCCATTTGTGTCCAACGATGAGGGCGAAAGTGTCATCGTGGAGCCGGCAATCTAGCCCTTGGAAGGAATGCATTGAAACCAACCGGGTGAAGAGTTCGAAGTTTACGAACCTAGAAACCCTCGCAGGCTGCAGCAGCCCGCCGAAAAAGGGCAATATCAACAAGATCTTCAGACGTATGATAAATGGTAGAATTGATGCATTCCAAGGGCCAAGCAACAAAGTTGAATGTTGGTTGCCCACACATTGCACGGTAGAGATGGCGGTGGCGAAAAGCAGCAGAAGAGCGTCGTGTATGCCAATGCTCTTGCAGCCATTGATGTGCAGAATGCATCGTCTGTCCAACATAAAAGCGTCCTGAAGGCAAATGAACAATTGCATAAATCACTCCTTAAACAGTGAGGGGGTCCATACCTGGTTCAAGGGGTTGTTGATCGACACCTCGGAGTTGCAACTCAAATCACTCTGCTTGCACAACACTGTTAAGAAGACAAAGTTGTTTCTTGCGGCAACCTCCTGCAGAATACTAGCATTCCACTCCAGGGGTGCACGCCAATCTACACGATGAGAGACAAATGCCTGGCGGTTTGACATGTGAGCATGAGCAAACGAAACATAGTGTCCAAGAGGAAAGCTTGGTATAGCACCTGCCATGCCAACGACAGGAAATTTCCCGAGAGGGGTGGGAAGTATCGGGGTAGCCGCTTGATTATTCCTTTGTAGATTCATTGTTGATGGTTATGGAACAATTATTTTTTGATTTTTCAATTTTCCAATGCAAAGAAATGGAGGTGAGTGCACAAGGTGAAAGGACTTTAGGCCCGACGGCTCAGGCCGGGATCCTGCCGTCGTCCTTTTTGTTTGTTGTTCACCGCTAGCAGCATTGTCAAAGAGGGCGCTCGGTTTGAATGCAAAACTGCATCTCCCAATGAGTGTGCTCACAGCAGCAATGCCAGGAGCCTTGCACCGACAGACCAACAGTGCCTACATAAAAAGATGTCACCAAGCAGTTGACACATGCATAAACCAGCGTAGAAGGATTATCTCAAAGAACATGGAACAAGAGGTGAGTGGGCATGGGGGCAGCCGCCCGGGTGTGGCCAACCTTAGGCGGGAAAGGGTTACAACCCGTGCCCTTGCGGTGACCGCCATCACAATCACATCGTGCACGAAAGGAACAAGAGTACATAACAGCTGTACACAACGAATAGACAAAACAGATTGTACACAAGGAATGTACATGTAAGGGATGTATAGCAGGAATGTACATAGTTGCAATACCAAGCTTACCTGAAAGGACAAAGAGCCAAGCAAAACATCCGTAACAACATCTGTCATAAAAAAGAGTGAAGTAGCTGAGTTTATCATGAAACCAGCAAATTGGGCATATATATATATATATATATTGTGTGTGTGTGTGTGTGAGAGATGAGCAAAATTGAATGGATCTTCCGCTAGAACATGGAAATATCCGACACCTGCTGTTTAACACTTTCTGCAATCAACGGCAAAATGTGAAAAACCGCCCGCCAGACAAAGTACCATAAAAGCGGCCTGGCCCCTCCCCGACTCAACCCGCGCCTGTCGTTACATTTTTAGGCAGCGTCCTCCCACAAAACGGATATGGAGACAGCCTCGACCCTGCGGCCGCCGGGCAAAAAAACTTCCTGCGGACAATGAATTTCGTGGGACACCTCGTGTACCATCCAAACGATGTGCGGGCATCGTTTTTGCTGGTCCCGGAGGGAGCGTCTTACGAGGACCGCTTTTTCCTGAAGTATTAGAGTAGACTTTTTTGCGGTCTTGGATGTTCTCTACGCTTAGTCATCCAGCTCTCCCTCTCACCTTGTCCTCCTCTCCTTCTTCCTAATATGCTTGTACTCTGTATACTTCTCTCTCACTCTCTTTTTTTTTTTTAATAGCTTTATCTTTTTTTTTTCTCTCTCTGTGTCTACTTCTCTCTTCTTCAATGGTTGTATGAGCTTATGTATACCATCATTTTCGACGACTCCCACGAACGCTATGCTGAATGCCTCATATTGGAAACTGCATGCTAGACAACTGTCTAACACTTTTCCAATCCAACCAAAATGTTTTGCTACGCCCGTCAGAAAAAAGAAAAAAACAACCATACCAGTTCATGTCTGATCGGCACGCAGCAGAAATCTGCGCTGGGCACACCTTGAGCAGACACTCCGCATGGGGAGAGTGCCCATCATGACAGCTACAAATGCGGGACAGCATTGAACTCGAACTTGATGTGGCTTACAAGAAAAACGCAAAAGCCAAAAATAATGCATTCGCAGAAAACCTCCAGAAAAACTTACAAACACAAAAAGGAGGAAAGCCGGGAACTGTAGTTAGGAGTTCAACAGTAATGACAGGGGATGGCCAAAGGGAAAGCAAAATAAAGCAGATGGGTGGTACACTGAACACAGCAGAAACATTACAGCCCCTTTGTGCTGTGTAGGAAAAAGAAGGAACTTGTGTTGAGTGAGGGGCGTCAGGGTGAGCTTAAATCGACCTGAAAGATGTGTCGCTTTCATGCCCACTGGCAGGACCCCTTCGGCCAACCATAGCCATTGGATGATCGGGGCTGCAATCAAATCCAGTTGAGCAACATCACGTCAGGTCAACCTGTCTACATCTTCAGTACTTTCGTCGACAGTCTGCTAACGGCACATCTGGTGCACATTCTAAGGTTACAGATCACCTGCATCACAAGTCTGCCATCGTGATTTGAGTATAGTCTGCAAGTACCAACTGATGGCACTGAAACAGTCATCATCCGCTATTATTGCATACGACTGTAGGGGCTATCCACATAGTTGAGAAAGCGCGATACATTCCCACGCCACCAGTGGCACACGACAAGAGTAGTTATCAATTGTCCCATGATGATGACAGTTTGTTTTGCTGTCTCATCACACAACTCGTAAAATGTCTGTGTACTTGCAGTTGTTATCAAGCTGTGCCTTTGCAGTTGTTTCCACAACATGTAGGTTGGGCATACCATATGTACTTCACACCATGATAATTCGATTGCATGCTGGTCACTACAAGCACTGTTCCAACACACACACAAGGTTGGTACCAAGGAACAGTCTTGGCAGCAGACTCCTAATTCAATTATCAGCACAGTTCCATACTGTTTCTATCATACTTGCGGGCCATCGGCCCTGTGCGCTGTGCGGTGCGCTGTGCAGCCCGCAAACCTGAGGTGCACGCGCACCTGGCTGCGCGGTGCGCGATGCGCTGCGCACAGGGCCGGCGCGCTGCGCGCGGGTGCGCTGGGGGGAACACACGACTGCAAGATCTGCTTTGCCAGCGCCATCGACAGCTTCACCTGCGCACACACAATCCACAAACAGCCCAGGCGTCAGCCCCTCTTCAACAAAGGAAACAGCATCCGCCCCTTAAACCCTCCTCCTTGCCCCCCCCCCCCAAACCCCCAGTCTAAACACCGCCTTCGATCAAAGCACCCAATCCAAGTACTGCCAGCAACCGCAGGCCCATAATTGAAAAGGCAGAAGAAGAACAACATCACACTTGTCCAACGAAAAGAGAGAGA